TGATGGAAAAGGACCTGTGGTGAGATGACACACCCAGGAACCTGACCCAGTCTGGGCCTCACGTACAGGGCTGCCTTTAGGATTCAAAATGTGAGGAATGTGGTTGTTAATTAAGAAAGAGAGAATTGGGGGATGAAAGAAGAGGGCTAGAAAGGAGTATGGATTATTTGAAATCCTGTGAGGGCCCAGTGTGTGGAGATCAGGGCAAGTGGCTTGAGACCATGCTGGACAGCTCGAGAGGGGCCAGGTCATTCAGGGCCCTCGAGACTGGGTGAAGGATGCCAGCCTCATCTGTGAGGCAGACGGAAGCCTCTGAAGGGCTAGGTCATATTTGTGGTTTTTAAAGGTCCTGCTCGCTGCTTTGTAGAGAACAGATCAGAGAAATGCAATGATAGATACAGGGAGTGTCAGCTAATAAACAGAGAGCAACAGGATTAGGAAACTCAACATTTTGCAACCATTGTAGCATTCTCATGAACAGATGCTAAACCATTGGGTGAAAGTTCATTAGAACATGAGCTATTTAAATAGTTTCAGAGTATCAGAATTACTCTGCTATTGACTTGCTTACAAAGAGAAGAAAGGGCACCCTTACAAGGGAGAATGGTCATCGTGGTCAAGTGTAACATCACCAGTAATGAGACAAACTGATAATTATGCCTCCTATTGTGACACACGGAGAAGGGCACAAGTTCAGGGAGCAGTGCTGCCAACGTCTGACTCCAGTAAGAAAGGGACAATCAGAAAAATCTAAATGGGGACACAGCCTCCAAACAGTAAGCTTGTACTCCTAGTAAGTTTCAGTGCCTTTTTTTTTTTTTTTTTTTTTTGGAGGCAGTCTCACTCCAGACCTGGGTAGAGTGTTGTGGCATCATAGCTCACAGCAACTCAAACACTTGGGCTCAAGTGATCCTCCTGCCTCAGCCTCCTGAATAGCTGGGACTACGGACGCCTGCCACAATGCCTGGCTAATTTTTGTATTTTTAGTAGAGACAAGGTCTCGCTCTTTCTCAGGCTGGTCTTGAACTCCTGAGCTCAGACCATCCACCTGCCTCAACCCGTATCAGTGTCTAAAAGAACAAAGAAAAGCTGAAGAAGTATTCCAGAGTATAAGAGAATGTCTTTGAAGATGGAGGAAGGGAGGCGGCCTCTCAACCCTGGAAAAGGCAAAGAAACAATTTTCTACGAGCCACCAGAAGGAACACAGCCCTGCTGGCACCTCAATTTTGGAACTTGACCTCCACAACTGTAAGATAATAAATTTGTGGGGAGGGGGGTTGTTTTTGCAATAAGACCTCACTCTGTCACCTGGGCTAGAGTGCCGTGATATCATCACAGCTCACTACAAGTGATCCTCCTGGCTCAGCCTCCCTGGTAGCTAAGACTACAGGTGCCTGCTACCACCTCAGCTAAGTTTTTTAATTTTTGGTAGAGATGCATTCTCACTATGTTGCCCACGCTGGCCAAAATATTTTTGAATTTTGGAAAGGAAATTTTTCCACCTACCAAATCCTAGTCAAAATGTAATTCTCCAGACAATATAACCCCCCCTAAACAAAGGATCCAAGAGAGACTTTGACTTGGGTCTTCCTCTTTGCTAGAAGCTCTGGTGTTTTTTTCACTGATTCTGTAGTCCTTTCTGTCTAATAAAATCCTGTCTTACTACTCATCTGTGGTCCCTGGGTTCATTCTTTGAATCCCTGAGACCAAGGACCTACTGAAGAAGAAATTCCGGTAACAGTATCTCCAAGAAGGAAGGCGGATATAATGAGGTGTGTCTGACCTCCCTTCTCGTGGCTAGTAACTCAGTTTTAGGGATCCCCTTAGCCAAAAGGGAGTCCATCTAGCCAGCTGCTGTTGGGGGGGGGGCTTAAGATTTTATTTAGTTCACAATATTTTTTTTGTTCTAAAAGGGATAAAAGCATCTTACTTTTGCCACTATGCATATCACACTCTTGTGAGGGTCCCCAATGGAAATGGAAAACTAATAAAATTTGTATGCTTTTCATTTTAAAAATATGTATTTTTTTTAACTTTCATTAACCCATCCAGTAAATGTACTACTCCCATCTTCTTTTCACACCATTTATACGATATTATGGTATATGTTAGTGACTGCTTTTTCTTACATGCTTTCCTAGTTGCTTTTTTCTGCCTGCCCAGGGTCTAGCCCCCTCTCCTGGCCAGAGCACCTCAGTTTCCTGGGAAGAACCACCATTCTCCCGCTCTCCGCCCAAATAGTGTGGGTGGGGCTGACCCTCCCTCCTGGCCTCAGAAGTTTCTCCCAAGAGATGAGCACATGAGAAGCATTGGTCCATTCAGAACAAATCCTAGACTTTCGGTAGAAGTATTAAAAGAGAATCTTTTTTTCCAAGGGAGCTGCTAGGCTGAGACAATGTAAGCCCGGAGCTGTCGGGGACCACTCTCTAAGAAGGATTGAGTCTGTGAATGAAGCCAACTCAGGGGCATAGAGACCAAGTTTTGCTTCCCTGGATCCTGCTGGGCCAACTCCAGAACTTTTTAATTATGTAAATCAACATACTCCCCTGTGTGTGTGTGTGGTTTTGTTTGTTTGTTTGTTTGTTTTTAACAGCTGGAATTGAGTTTCTGTCACCACTGAAAAAAATCCTGGTAAATCTGCTTTCTGGGTCCACACATGCTACTTCCATGATTTACTACTAGTCTGTATATTCCAAAGCAGAAAATAAGCTTAACCTACCATGGCTTGATCTTTGTGACTGGTGCTTCCTCTTCCCAGGGGTCACAAATACTTTTCACGGGTTATTTCCCAGGCCCAATGTCAAGTTCACTGGTCTGTGATTTGCACAACTCACTTTCACAAAAAAATTGGCCACTTCATCTGCCTCTCTCCAACCTTCTGGCAAGCTCAGAAGACCTTTTATGAGGTGGGGAAAGGGTCTGCATGAATCCTTGGCAGAAATGATATTTCCTCCAAATGGAATCCAACTCCAAACAAGCTCACCTTTTTTTTCAACTTTTCTGAACAATTGGTGTTGCCAAGGTTGGGTCAGGACCTTGCTAATTGGTGCTTTGTCCAGGGCTCAGTCACTGAACCAGGGAAGGATTTCCTTCAGTTGCAGCATCCCTCCTGCTTCCGCCCATAAATTTGGCAAGACAGCACTTACATTCTGCTGGACTCAGGACAGAGCCTTACAGAGACCAACAGCTGTAAGGCAGTGGTTCTCAACCC